TCATACAATACATTCAACTCAGACATGTTACAAGGATTATTTGTAATTTTTACTAAATTCAAATATACAGTATGGCCGGTGCGAGATCACTGCTATACTAAATACTGTTTTCAATGTGCATCTTTCTGGTTTATTGGTTTGTCGACGCGATTTTGTTATCGGTACTGTTGAGAAAGTGGGAGAATAGGGCATCTCGAACATTATAAACAAAAGCGAATCGACGCACGAGTGAAATAATTGAATAATCTAATAATATACTGCACAGCGTCCACTCGAGACGTCTCGGAGACGTCAAAGTCTACAATGCCACATGAAATGAATGACATCTCCCAGACGTCATTGGGTCAAGTATCTTTCTAAATACTTTTTCATTTCTTTGAAGTGAAACTTCAACTGAGTTAATATTAAAATTTTAATATTTTATTTAAATTTTAATATTTAATATTTTAATATTAAAATTTTAGTTAATATTAAAATTTTAATACTCAGAGCTTATACATATCTATTTCAGAGATAACTTTCCTAATTTATTAAATATTTCATTTCAGCTTGTACCAAAAATTACTTTAAAATAATGTCAACAAGGGTGTAAATTAATAGAAGTATTTTTTTACTGAATATATCTCTAAACTTTGGCAATATGAATAATTAAATTGCTCTCTTTTCTGTTACAACTTATTTATCAATTTATGATATTTTACAGAAAGTTGGACAAAATGGAAGTGGTAGACCATTGTGTGTTCGATTTACACAAACAGTTTGAGATATGTACCACTATTAGTAAGACAACGATGGTGGAATACTGCTGACAGTAAAATTAAAGTTGCTATAGATAAGATCACAGCTTATTCTGTTAATCTTATGCTTTGTCAAGAGAAGCATCTTAAAAACAAATTACATGACATTGAAAATCTACAAGTGAAAGTACATCCAGCATTCCGTGAAGTGACAGTTTGTATGAAATAGATGATACAAAATTGAAATTTAATATTATATTGTCACCTAATCATCCATTAGAACCAGTTACTGTTGGATATGAACAACACGCATGTGAAGCAAATTGGAGGAATTGTCACATGCAGTTATCTATATTTCCGACACACCAGATAATAATTTATCAATTTAAATAATTAAATTATATTATATTGGGATTAATAATTAAGGAAATACTCCCTTTTTTAATGGAATAAATCAATATATAATGGACGTATATTATGGAAAAGAAATTTGGATAAAAAATTCGCTGGTGTGAAAGAATGTTGCATATGTGCAGTATTTTTCACATGAATGTGTATCAAATACCAAATTATCTTGTCATACGTGCCGGAAGAAATTTCATGCTGTTTGATAAGTTTATGTATTCCCAGTACGTATGTACGTATGTTTGATAAGTTTATTGTATTCTCTGTAATATTTATTGAAATTTTGTACAATTAGTACCTTTTCTGAAATCAATATTAATTTTTCTTTTTCAGCACAAGTGGTTTAATATAAATTAAAAATCCACATTTGTTATACTATTTATATTAAGCATTTCTATTTCTATCTGACTAAATATTTGATAAAATTGTTTGACTAAATAAAAATTCTTAATATAAATAGCATAACATAATTTCTTGTACATAGTAAAATTATCTGTACATAGTAACATTTGTCTACAGATATACTAGATTTACAGACACTTCTTGTATACCTATTTCATCAAATTTATAGAAATAGATATCACGTATAAAACTTTAAAATTAGAGATTTGAGAAAATAAGTCGTATTATTTTATTAATAAAAGTCAACAAAAATTGCTAGGAAAAGAACGTAAAAATTTTTAAAATTTTGCGAACCAATATTGTAACCTGGTATTGTAACGAAAAAATGTTTTATAAATTTTTTTAAGAATTGGTTTTGCATTATAAATTGTATAGATTTTCTGTCCATTTATAAATTAATTTTAATTAAATAACTAATAATTTAATTTTTAAACTTTTTGTCAATTATGTACAGAAGAAACAATGAATTTAAATTTATAATAAGTTACGTAGACTTATGTTTTTTAATACTTTTCATTAATTAAAAAGTTAATTAAGAATTGTGTATTTTTACTAGAAATTGTTAATAATTTTGGAATTATGATTATACGAACTTTTGGTATTTTTAATAGATTTTATCGTATATTTTGTTCATAATTAGGATAAATATTTCGAATATCGGGCTATTATGACTTAGAATGGATGTATATTTTAAGCCATGAAAGTTCAAAATTAGATTGTGAAAGTTTATACAAAATTATATTTTTGTTAGTATAATTAATTAAATATTCATTTTCCTCATTGAATATTAATTTCCAAAATTAGAAGAAACACTGACAGAACTAGCAATAAATAAGGAATTGAAATTGAAATTTGAAGATAGTTATCGAAAGCAGATAACTACATATGTCATAGTACAAAAGTTTTTATTTGCATTTTTTCCATCACATTTAGTGGACTCAGTGCAGTCACAAATCTATCAACTAGAAAAAGAAACGAGCTAGAAATAACCAATCAATCGTAATGATTGCTGCTGACAAAAATGGAATCAAATATCATATTGAGAATAGCGTATCAAATTGATTACAGAATAAATTGATAACAGTATGTCAGAATTATTTTTAATGTTACTCGTGATTTTTATTTTAATATTATCTTTCGTTTTCGTAATTTTCTGCGTGTAATCCAAATGTTATATTCAATTTCAACAAATTATTTTATAATTTCGAGTTCCAATATATCTTATTTGCAACAATATCTTTTCTTACTATGTTGAAGTATTACATGTTTTTTTCACAAAGTTGTAATGAAACTTGTATTTTAAACTACTTTTCATTATTTATTATGTAGGAATTGTGGAATTAATATATATTGTTGAGCTCACTGATGTCCGCCTCGACATGGCCAGAGAATTAATATAGTCTCTTTTGTATAGATAAAATTTTATTACATCTAAAATACATCATCTGAACGTCCATACATTTCAGTGGTTGGAGAGCGACTTTTTGTTTAAACATTGCCTGTCGCTAACGAAATGACCGGCCAATCAATCGATACTCGTATTCGAAGGAGCATCTTCAGTCGATGTACCAACTTCATGTTGGCGTAACAATATATTTATTTTTAATCTCGGTCATATCTTCAGCGCACGCCAATCACAACTCGATCGCCGTTCTCAAGGCGATAAGTCGTCGAGGATCTTGGTTCTTTAGCAACCCACACTCGGCCATCCTGCACGGATATCTGTCCTTAGATATCTTCGAGAATCTCATCTTCATTATACGAATCATCACTGTTATTATCGATTTATGGTTTCTTGTGTCCGGCCGCCGTGGATGTTTGTTGAGGCCCCTCATGATCGCCGACTTTGTGTACAACGTAATGATCGTTACGTAGAACTCGAGCGATACGATAGGGACCTAAATACTTGGGGTGAAATTTTAGTCCAGGCTGCGTTCTCTGAAGCGACTATCATTTTCCTGATATGTTGCTTCTTTTCGTCTTTTGTCGTACCCGCGTCGATTTTCTTGTTGGACTTTTAAAATACCCTTCTTGATTTGGCGACGAATATCGTTCCGCTTATCGTTAATTCTTTGCAGTCGTGTCTGCTCTCAGCCACCACAGCAAAGGACCATACTGATCTTATATTATATTAAGTCGACAAGCTTCGGAGATACGTAGAATTCGAAGCAGTATTTTACAAATTGTGTTTAAGTGTAATTAGGCATTTTCGCTTTATTACACGGTACGAAGATGCAGAAAATGGTGGAATGGTGGAGAAAAATTTTTCTCTGGAGATTAGAGGTGTGCGCAATCAATAGCTACATCTTATATAAGATGTCAACTAGAAAAGAAAATAAAACGCCTATGTCACATTTTATGTTTGTCCGGAAATTAGTGGAACAG